ATCAGTATTGTGCGTTGGATTGTTTTTATTTCGTATTAAACAATGTTAACAAAATTATCAATTTAAATTTAAAAAATTATATTGACAAAATAAACAAACGTAAGAAATAAAACAAATTTAAAGTAATTTCCTATGTATCTTGCACACACTGTTAAAAATATTTTTAAAATTACTACATTTTTACTAAGCAATTGCATAGTAAAATTACAAAATGTTGAATTGTATTGCCATTTTGTTATAGCCAAAGTACTAAACAGGTTCCAATTTTACAATGTTTTTGTTTTTGTCAGATACTTACTATTCTGTATACAATTCTACAGAATTGAATTTGAAATTTTCTAAAAATATTCGGAAAATAATCATATATTATATCACGAGAACTATGAAATTAATCGGTTAAACTAGGCTCAGTAGTTTTTTGAAAATGTTGAATGGAAAATAATTTAATAATAATAATTATTTTTAATTATTTTGCATGAAACTATTTTCCAAAAAGAAAAATCAAATAAAAAACTTACTGAACATAGTTTGACAGATTAAATTTATAGGTTGAGTAATATACGTCTAGATTATTTCTCGAATAAAGGAAACTATTTGACAATTCATAAAATCTGACGTATGTGTCAAAATTTATAAATATTTTTTTAAAGAAAATTCCATTAATTTAAGGTATGTAATAAGTAATAATTGATATTTCGTAAACTAGATAACTTATTTTTTATTGTTTTTTAAAAAATCGCTTATTTAAACGAAATTTATTCGAAAATTCAAGGCTTTTGATTGGTTCATATTATAATGAGGGAAATAATCAATAAAATTATTTACCAAAATTTGCTATTTGAATTACAATAAGTGTTTGGAAATATACAAATCAATATTTATTTTATACAACTTCTGTTTGCATTTTTACTATATATCATTTTAATGATGTACACCATTAAATTTTTTTGTAAAAATACAATTGTTTTGCAAAACAAATTACAAAATTATAATACAATTTGAGTAATTTTCCAAAGAAATCTACTAAGATAAGTTGTAATTTTACAATCTATATGTATAAATCCTACACGCATTGTAATTTTACTAAACAGTTTGACAGTTTCTAATAAAAAGCAACTCAGATTTACAAACGTTGATTTTATGTACCGATTGCGGCAATCATGTGATGTTCTTACATCTCGCCTCGGTTGACTTAGGTGGGCAGTATATAAGCTCAGGTGTCTTTCGCTTTTGGTGTGTTCCATTACACCAAATTGCGACACTGATAAGACCCAAAATAGGTCTATCTGACTAGCTATCTGTCGGTATTTAAAGTTGGTGGAACGCACTTAAAACAAAAACTCTGGCGAGGTGAAGGTTCAATTTTTTTTAAATCTTTACAGTAATGGGTCAAGAAAGTTTCTCGAAGAAACTAAGAAAATTGCAGGTTTTTTTTCGTAGTATAAATACAATACCATCATTCGTAAATTACTAAATATTTTTATTGTAATTTGTTGTACAAAATAACAATATTTGTATTGTAATATTGCAAAACGAATTGTATAGTGTAATTAAAATATATCATTTTAAAATTACTAAACATATTTAGTATTTTTTTAGCAAAATTACAATACCTGTATAGAAATGTTACTGAACAAATTTTTAATAAATGCTTAGTGAATTTCAACAAACGTTTTGTAATTTTCCCAAATTGAGTTTTATTATTTCTATATTGTGGTGCGTAAAAATTTCCTAAACATGTTTAGTAAAATTACTATAAAATTTCTTTATGGGACAATTCCAAAAACGCTTCTCACTTTCTGAGTGAGGTTAAATTGGGATACCTTTCATTAAAAGTTCTTATTGTTTTTTCTAAAACTTTTCCGCACTCGCCATATGTATAAAACATGTTTAGAATATCTTGATTAGTCATCACCCATTGTAACACAATTGTCAGTGTTGTTGACATTGACATTACTTTATGAATACAAAATACAAGAATTTCTGACTTACTACCTTTTTCTCTAAGACACTTTTTTAAAAATTTAGTGAAATTTTGATTGATTTTTTGTTATATCCCTATTTTACAAAATTATAGTCATTACTTAACGGCGAGTGGACTATAGCTGGATAGTTTAGCAATGGCCAGCAAGATCACTCGATCTTAATAGTTTGGATTTTTATTTAATAATTAGTTAATTTTAATAGATTTTTTTAAAGAACTACTTAATAAAGCTTTTTAATCAAGAAAAATATATAAAAACGATCGTCAAAGCAATATATTATTAAACAATTCATTTAACTAAATAAACTCCTTTTTATAAAAATTGATCTCGCATTATTAGGCAGGTTATTTTGAAAGTTGAATGAACGGATATGTCGCGTCAAACAAGATTTTTCTTTTATATACCCTTACACCTGAATATGTTTTTACCTTCTTTAAGAAAGGTTCATTCATCCTGTCGAAAATAATATTGTATTTTCAGCGATATTTATGGTACATTGAATAAGAAAAAACGTCAGTAATATATTTTTTTTATTGAAAAACGTCTTGGACATTTTAAGGATATTTTTAGACAATTTCAATGGTTTCATAGGTTTAGTTTTAGTAAATATTTAGACATTTTAAACAGATTATAGACAATTAAGGTAATTTACATTATTCTTAGATATTTTTAAATGGACCACTGATAAAAATAAGTAGGTGTGAATATTACCATAGAAACAAATAAATATGTTAACCTGCATTCATATCAATAATCAACAGTCTACAATTGTGAACACAGCTTAATCTACCTAATCGAAATTGGAATTTTTAATTTCTTTCGCTGCATAGATAGGTTCTCTTTCTTAGACCGTTATCCGCGAGCAAAACTATTTTTTAATTTCGCTTCGGGAAAGCAAATTAAAAATCAAAAATGGCTTCTCGATTGCTAGCAACGGCAGAATTCATTGCTCGAACAAGAATACGGGTCAAACATAAATCTCAACCCGGCTTTGCCCTGGAAACCAATAGCTACGATTCGCAGGTCATTCGGACAAATTGCCAGATACACTTAGAGATGTTGCTGGGCCAAGCTACAGGCTAAAATACATTTGTTATTTTACCGGTAGAGATAGAAAATTATGGCCTGTAGATAATACAACTTTTAACCGCAATTAATTATTTTTTACAATGTTTTAATTAAAAGTCTAAAACCTATCCTCCGTGACCGTTACTCTTTCTAGGTTAACCTATATGTTTTCAAATATCTGAGGTAGTAAAGCATACTAAAAATATCAGTTCACTAAGTAAATTAAACACATCCAAAGCAATCGAATCAAATATAAAATATTAATAAAAATTAAAAGAAATAATTTTTATAACCATTTATGTAGGTGTTACAAAAATTAATTCTATCCTCCGTGAAACTGTTTTTGCTTTAAATTTTATGCAACGGATGGCGCTTTAATCATTTTAAATAAGCAAAAACCTCTGTTTACGACATTATAGATGCATGCGATTCCTGAAGGTCAGTTAGAATTTATATGCAGATGAGAGTGTTGCTGTTTTATAATTCAAAAGTTTAAGTTCATTAATTTGCTATTTAAAAACCTATCCACCGTGAAGTGTAATATCTCAGTAAGTAGATTTTTTTTTATAAAGATTTGTAGACACATTTAATTAAGCATTCGCGTTTATCAAACTTGATACATTATATACTATTTTATTTTAGGTTTGGCTTTAAAGATCTAAATCTATTTAATTGGGATAAGTTTGAAACCCCGGTAAAACTTACTATATACAAACTTTGCAAAAGCAATTAACTCCTTTGTTTTATAAAATTTAACAAAAGCAAAGTTTTTGACATTATGTTAAATGTAGTTTTTAAAGAACTTAAAATCGCAGAGGTAGAATTAAATTCACAAGGGAAAATGTAGATATGAAAACAGTATATTAAAAGTTGTTTTATGCTATAAAGGTTAGGTTGTTCCGTAATGTTAAAAGGTTTTAAACAATTTGTAATAAAAAAATTATGAAAGAAATCTTTTTTGTAACTTTTATAAGCCTGATAAAAAAAATCCACTAAAAACATACGTATTTCATTGAGGATTTAATTATTGTTAACAATTTGTTTATTTATTCTTTTTCGTTTATATAACTTTTGGCCACTTGGTATAAATGTATATATAAATTTGAAACAACAAAAACTTTTTTCGTAGTAAACTTGTTACTTGTAACTTGTTTATAATAGACATAGCGCCCTCTATCAAATAGGGTTCTGTTTAATTTTTAAACGTACTTTATATTACAGAACACTGTACTTACTGCTAAAAAATCAATAATTTTGTTAAAGTAAAATCATTTTTAGTTTAAATGTAGTTTGTTTTATATTTCAATTTTTAATTTTTGTCTTCAATAGCATTTTGAATATGTGGAAATCTTATATGTGATAAAAAATTAACAAAGATGTATTTGTGTTCAAAACTTTATATAAACATCAAAACATTTAATAATTTATATTTTTTTTGGGTTATCTCATTTTGTAATAAATGTAGGATTATAAAAGTAGCGAGGTTTTTTGTGGCTGCACAGATCAATTTGTTAAAATAACTGCAACATGAAAGTGATTTTGGTACTCTCCGCTTTTTTCGTTGTGAGTTTGGCCGCTCTAAAATTTTTCTTAGATATTTTAGTACAATGTTCATCTTTAATATTTCTAATTGCACTTACACTTTGTTACTTTCGTTAATTTTGAAGTAATATACATTGACATTGGTAGTTCTATATTATGTACTTATTTTTTGTTCATTGTTACAGATTTTCATCTAGTTGCAGTGAAGAAAAGAACTGCCTTTTTCAAGATAAATAGTGTTTATGCGTTTGTCGCTCTATACAAATGTTTAATTTAAACATTTTATAAACTTCTCTAGACACTCGTTTTTATTAAACACTCGCTCGCAAACTTCGCTCGCGCAAGAAGAGTTAATTGCTGTCATTAATAAATTATTTTTAATTTTGCACTAAAAATGTGGAGGTAAGGAGCAGTGAAAAAAATAGTTTTAAAAACGTGGTTTATTTATTAAATGAACAATAAAACTAAAGACCGCATCCAACGTAGTGTTCGTGTTCGATTACGGTACAAAAAACGTTGAGTTGTTCTTGAACGGTGTAAAGGCATTTCATCAAAGCCCAGGAGGTCTCTACGGGTGTGTCCTTGTTAACTAAACATTTGTTCAACTTTTCTTGAAGGTCGCCATTATAGCGTTTGGCCCAAACGCTCTTCATATGCTCCTCGTTTAATTTGCCGTCAGCGGTGATTAAGTCTTCGAATTTTAGCATACAAAGTACGTAGTTCTTGAAGTTGTCGTCTTCGGTGAAAATTCCGCGGAACATTTTTTTCATCAAGTCTTTGTCGATTGGCCCCGGTTCTTGGCATTTCATGGCCTTTTGCTCCAGGGTTAGTCCCTGGAATTATAGATTCTTTAATACGATATCAAAATTCCATCCAAATGTGAAAAAATACTTAAATTAACCTAAATGGAATAATTAAAAAACAGTTAAGATAAAATTAAATAACTGATTTTGGAGTTTTGTTTGATTGAACAATTTATATTGTACCACATATAAACAACGTTTGTGCAGCAACAGCAAAGGATAAGCAAGATAAGAGTAAAAAACGATAGCCAATCCCAATACAAGGCCATAGGGAATTCTTTCAATTGCTAGGATACTTAGGATGCATTGTTGATATTATAATATGTAAAATATTTGGTCGACTGGAACCAACTTCATAGTGACACTGCTGTCATTTTTTGTTCCTGTCATTATTTATCATTTTAAGTTATTTTATCCTCCTCTGATTTTGCCGAAATGATGAATGCTAGTGAGGCAGCACGAGTTTTTTCCCAGCGCTTTCTTGATCGTCACCTGGACTGTAAAGTTGTTCTGTGTGAAGGTGCCCTTAACGTATTAGAACAGCGGAAAATAAAGAGCTATTTTCAATGCCTTTGATGCAAATAGTAGGAAGAGCATGATTACGAAGGACGTTAGATAATCCCGCTAGAGTGGAATTCTCTGCAGTGGTTGCTAAAGATTTCGGCTCTGGGCTCCAGAGCCTGGGGTGCAGAACTAGTTGTTTAATTTTTACTTTAAAACATTGGCGTCCTGAAGTATGACATTCCTTTTTAAAAGGTATTAAACACAGTCGTACAAAAGATTTTTAAAAGTTTTAAGACAACAATGTTATATAGTCTCCAAGCAATTTTTAAAGCTTTTAGGTTTAACCTAGGCGAAAGCTCTTGGTATTAGCTGCCTCATTTTTGCTCTCATTTGATTACACAAATTTTGTATTTTTAATTTGGCATCTCCATTGCCATCAGCACGTTTTAAAAATCAGTAACAAAACAGTTTTATATTTAGTTATTTCATATGACATAAATTTTAAAACAAATAAAAAGTGTTATTTTTACTCCTAAAATATCAGTTGAGATTCGCCCGGGACGCCACTGTAATATATAAATTAAATATGAATGTAACAAAAGCTGACTATTATTTCTATTAATAGAAACACCCTGTATCTCTGAAAGGAAACCCTGCCCACTGAGCAAAAAAACGTAAAATATATGTAAAATTAACGTCAAAGGTTGTAGTGTGACGTATAAGAATCTTGTAAAATAAACGTCACATAAACGTCGCTGTGATGTGCCTATGTCCGGATCCTGGGCCGTGAATTAGCCCTAACCGTTACGTGGATAAGGAGACGTAAAAATTACGTTTTTAAAAGGACGTAAAAATGCCATTTTAATATGGACGTATAGGTTTTGTTTCCACTTGTACGTAATAGTTACGTTTTTTTAAATAAAACTACCACTTTGGAAATATATTTTTTTTTTATTAAAATAAATAATAAAAATAAAACATAGTCTGATAAAAATAATAAAAATAAAACATACCGCCTAATTAATTTTCGGTCTCATTCTCATGTCCAAATTTGGCCAAAAAAACGTTATGAGCGTTGCTTGGCGGTTTGGAACAACTCCTTGCTCTCTTTATCGAAATCACTTTCAGTCAGACGAAATAATTTCATACTGGCTTCTAAAACAAACATTAATAACTTAAGTTATCTAAGTAATTAAGTATATAAAACTTATATAACTTGCCTGTCGCTCGGCGCAAAATTTGTCTCCCATGTTCACTGGTCTATTAACTGAAAAATCAAATTGATTAAAAGACTTTTCTTTAAGTCTAACAGCATTGATTAATATTACTTCTCACTCAACGCTAACATTTAAATCAACAAAATTCGATAACCACTAATAGCTCCATCATGGCGATATTGGGACAATTAATTAATTATATTATAACTGTATGGTTGGAAACAAATAATAAAGCCAACTTACCTAAACCCATATACCTATAAGTTATAGGTATATGCCTAAACCGTTCAGTCTCGCCTATGGAGAACAATGCGTTTTCTATCACACAGCAACAAATGGCAACACACTGTGTTGAACACAGAACAATGGCAGTCGCAACGCAAACAGAGTATGCCCTGTTACAGGGCCCCTTTTATACCGATATATCGACTGGAAACGAAATTACCCGAGTCCTTTTTTACGTAAATTTTACATAAAATATACGTTTCTTAATCTCACTATGCGAGAATAATTATTATTTTATAAGCGGTAATATTAATTAATAAATCACTCTGGGATTTATATTAAGTCATTAAAATAATAATTGTACCTATAGGTAAGCTTACATTGGTTTCTAAGTAAGTACCTACCTTGGGTTTAATCTAAAATTATGAATTAAATTTGGTATTTAATTATCTAAGTATACACTCAAATTTCCAACAAAAATGTAAATGTGGCATATATTTTAATGTTCATCATTGGCAAACCTATCACATTCATATTTATCATGTGTCACATTGGTGACGTAAAATGTACGTTGTGTTTTGCACCTAATACGCTAAAGTAAAATAAAAGTCATAGATTGGACGGTATAGTGACGTGCTCGACAGCACCTTTTATTTTTTAGCGTAATTTTTACGTAAATTGAACATCACTAAAGAACGTAGTTAATGTGCCTTAAAATTGACAATTTTTAAACGTCACTGTGACATCACCACATCCATAATGTTCAGTGGGTGTATATTTAACAGTTTTTTCATTAAAATGAACGAAGAAATAAAACTGTTTTATTATGGCCAAATGAAATTATGATAACCTATCTAATAACAAAATATTGCGAAAATAAAGTAAACATCCCAATAAACATTTTGACGTAATTTTCACCATTAACATTGCCCGTTATTATTTTTATTAAACTAAACAATTTTTGATACTTTAAAATATTAAAATAACTTTAAAATGCGATTACATACGTCAAAAAAGTATATTATGCTTTGATTTTTTGTTTTACTATAATTTTAAATATTATAACAGTTTTAAAAATTCTTACACGAAAAATGTAAAAGGTACATAAAGTAGATGTATTCATTGGAATTCCCGTTAGAATTTCTAACTTGGGAATCTACCGGCGTTTAAATCTCAAATTTTCTATGTAAATAAAAATGTATTCCTTGAAAATATACTAACAATCAATTTAGAAGCAGTTTTTCCTAGTAAAAGAGAAGAGAATGTTTTATGGGCACTACGCACATTTTTTTAACGCTTTATCTGCACTACTACGGCGAAATAAAAAGGTCAGTACAAACGTTCATATATATAGTCTTTTTAAATATTGGCGTCAAGAAACTATTTAATACTGTTGTATTTTTGTATTGAGATAATTTTCACATTAAGTATTATTTTACAAGAAATGCACTTTATTTTAAAGATTGTATGACATCTGTCAACTAACTTCAGCCCGTGACTAAAGTGCCGTAAAGCCACAGCTTGTCAATTAGTGTTAAGGAAACATTTTGACCAATATTAGTTTAAGTACTATTAGAAATGTTAAAAATGAACATTGAACTAAAATATCTGAGCAAAATTTAAGTGATTGACAAAATTGTTGGACTTACATTTGGAGCGGACAAAGCCACAACGAAAAGAGCGAAGAGTACCAAAATCACTTGCATGTTGCAGATATTTCGAACAAATTGAACTGTGCATCTTCCAAAAATCTCTCTACTTTTATAATCTTTGAGAATAAAAAATAAACGTATATGCTGTTATCAATTATACGAGGATTTTCCATTAAATGTTTTGATGTTTATATAAAGTTTTGAACACAAATACTTCTATGTAAATCGTTAATCATTCAAATAATTTCTCATATTTTTAACCAAGAGATTTCCATAATTTTGGAATGCCCTTAGATGCCTTAAGGTACTTTTTAAGACAAAAATCACAAATTTAAATATAAAACAAACTATATAAACTAAAAATGATTTTAAATAAATGGTTTGAGGTTTAATGCGATTTGAAGTTTTTAAAAGTTAAATGCCAGAAGTTAAAACAGTTTAGTTTAACAAAAGTACGTTTAAAAATTAAACAAGACCATATTTCATAGAGGAAGCTGGGTCTATTATAAACAAGTTACAAGTTTACTACAAAAAAAGTTTTTGTTGTTTTAAATTTTCCACATACATTTATACCAATTTCCATAAAAATAATAACTATAAACTTGATATAATAAATATGTAGAATTCGAATAAAATTGCTTTTCAGAACAAAACATAAATTTTACAATAAAATTTGATGCAAAAAAGTTATAGATGATAACTTTTTTTTTAATTCTTCTTTTTATTTTATAAAATTAATATTTAAAACTTAAATTTCCATAAAAATTATTTCAAATTTGTGTAAATTTCATGGTTAAAAAGAAAATTAAATTATTTGCACAAACATCAAAACATTTAATTGAAAATTCTCGTATAATTGATATCAGGAATTCGCGTTAATTATTATTTTTTTTCGGGTTATCTCATTTTGTAATAAATGTAGGATTATAAAAGAAGCGATATTTTTGGTGGCTGCACAGTTCAATTTGTTCAAATATCTGCAACATGAAAGTGATTTTGATAACCTCCGCTCTTTTCATTGTGGCTTTGGCCGCTCCAAATGTAAGTCCAACAATTTTGTCATTCACTTAAATTTTCTTAGATATTTTAGGTTTGTTAATATTGGTCAAAATGTTTCCATAACACTAATTGACAAGCTGTGGCTTTACGGCGCTTTAGTCACGGGCTGAAGTAAGTTGACAGTTGTCAGATGTCATACAATCGTTAAAATAAAGTGCCTTTCTTGTAAAATAATACTAAATGTGAAAATTATCTCAATACAAAAATACAACAGTATTAAATAGTTTCTCAACGCCAATATTTGAAAAGTTTATATGAACATTGTACTGACCTTTTTATTTCGCCGTAGTAGTGCAGTGACTGGATTTAACAGATAAAGCGTTAAAAAAATGTGCGTAGTGCCCATAAAACATTCTCTTCTCTTTTACTAGGAAAAACTGCTTCTACATTGATTGTTAGTATATTTTCAAGGAATACATTTTTATTTACACCGAAAATTTGAGATTTAAACGCCGGTAGATTCCCAAGTTAGAAATTCCAACGTGAATTCCAATAAATACAACTACTTTCTTTACCTTTTACATTTTTCGTGTAAGAATTTTTAAAACTGTGATAATATTAAAATTTTTTGACATATATAATCGTATTTTAAAGTTATTTTAATATTTTAACGTATCAAAAATTGTTAAGTTTAATAAAAATAATAACGGGCAATGTTAATGGTGAAAACTACGTCAAAAATGTTTATTGGGATGTTTACTTTATTTTCGTAATTTTTTGTTATTAGAAAGGTTATCATAATTGCATTTGGCAATAATAAAACAGTTTTATTTATTCATTCATTTTAATGAAAAAACTGTTAAATATACAGGGTTTCCTTTCAGAGATACAGGGTGTTTCTAATAATAGAAATAATAGGCAGCTTTTGTTACATTCATATTTAATTTATATATTACAGTGGCGTCCCGGGGGAATCTCAACTGATATTTTTAGAAATAAATATGACACTTTTTATTTATTTTAACATTTATGTCATATGAAATAACTAAATATAAAACTGTTTTGTTACTGATTTTTAAAACGTGCTGATAGCAATGAGGATGCCAAATTGAAAATACAAAATTTGTGTAATAAAATGAGAGCAAAAAAGCGGCAGCTAATACAAAGAGCTTTCGCCTAGGTTAAACCTAAAAGCTTTAAAAATTGCTTGGAGACTATATAACATTGTTGTCTTAAAACTTTTAAAAATCTTTTGTACGACTGTGTTTAATAACCTTTTAAAAAGGAATGTCATACTTTAGGACGCCAATGTTTTAAAGTAAAAATTAAACAACTAGTTCTGCACCCCAGGCTCTGGGGCCCAGAGCCGAAATCTTTAGCAACCACTACAGAGAATTCCACTCTAGCGGGATTATCTAACGTCCTTCGTAATCATGCTCTTTCTACTATTTGCATCAAAGGCATTGAAAACAGCTTCTTTATTTTCCGCTGTTCTAATACGTTTAGGGGCACCTTCACACAGAACAACTTTACAGTCCAGGTGACGATCAGGAAAGCGCTGGGAAAAAACTCGTGCTGCCTCACTAGCATTCATCATTTCGGCATAATCAGAGAAGGAAAACATAACTTAAAATGATAAATAATGACAGAAACAAAAATTGACAGCAGTGTCACTATGAAGTTGGTTCCAGTCGACCAAATAGTTTACATATTATAATATCAACAATGCATCCTAAGTCTCCTAGCAATTTAAAGAACTCCCTATGGCCTTGTATTGGGATTGGCTATCGTTTTTTATTCTTATCTTGCTTATCCTTTGCTGCTGCTGCACAAACGTTGTTTATATGTGGTACAATAGAAATTGTTCAATCAAACAAAAGTCCAAAATTAGTTATTTAATTTTGTCTTAACTGTTTCATGATTATTCCATTTAGGTTAATTTAAGTATTTTTTCACATTTGGATGGAATTTTGATATCGTATTAAAGAATCTATAATTCCAGGGACTAACCCTGGAGCAAAAAGCCATGAAATGCCAAGAACCGGGGCCAATCGACAAAGACTTGATGAAAAAAATGTTCCGCGGAATTTTCACCGAAGACGACAACTTCAAGAACTACGTACTTTGTATGCTAAAACTCGAAGACTTTATCACCGCTGACGGCAAATTGAACGAGGAGTATATGACGAGCGTTTGGGCCAAACGCTTTAACGAAGATACCCAAGAAAAGTTGCACAAATGTTTAGTTAACAAGGACACAGCCGTAGAGACCTCCTGGGCTTTGGTGAAATGCCTTTACACCGTTCAAGAACAACTCAATGTTTTTTGTACCGTAATCGAATACGAACATTATGTTGGATGTGCTGTCTAGTTTTATTGTTTATTTATTAAATAAACCACGTTTTTAAAACTATTTTTTACTGCTCCTAACCTCCACATTTTCAGTGCAAAAACTATTAATGACAGCAATTAACTCTTCTTGCAAAACTAGCTAGAGAAGTTTATAAAACGAGTAACATACTATACTGTATCTACGACGAATACAAAGGAGAATTTAAGGCCAATTTTATTTGTCAACTGTCAACGGATTTAACCCTTGATTAAAATACTCAAAAGTCACTATTGCTATCTTCAGCCGTGACTAAAATGCCATAAAGTCACAGCTCGTCAATGTAGGAGTAGATAAAATAAATAAAAATTAAAAAAGGCGTCATTTTATGACTTTGTTTTTAAGTTTTACAAGCTTAGTTTATATTCCTTGATAACCAAGTTTTTTCCAAAAATGTCACTGGCTTTTAGGCACCTGAAGCACAGTTTTAATTTTGATAAAATTCGGTTTGATTTTAATGAAAAAACTGTTAGATATACAGGATGAAGTTTTTTGCATAAAAATAAGAAAAAAAAAGCTTTTAAAAGAAATATGACACGCTACTGCCTTTTATATGTTTTAATATTCGTTGCAGATGAAACTATTAAATATAAAATGTTTTTGTTTTATAACTGATTTCGCGATATGCTTGGTTTTCAAGAAAAACAAATTTATCTTTTGAAGCAAGTAAAAAATCAACACGTGCCCAAAATATAGGAATACCTACATAAGTAAATGTAAAATACAAATTTTTAAAAATGTGTCAAAACTTTTACATTTAAACGTATCTTTATTTTCATCATATTTATTTGCTTCTATATTTTGAGTTAAGATAACCATTTCTTGTTTTTATAATTTTTATTGTTGGATTCCTTCATTTTTTTAAATTATTTTTTACAATGTTTTAAAAGTCTAAAACCTATCCTCCGTGACTGTTACTCTTTCTAGGTTAACCTATATGTTTTCAAATATCTAAGGTAGTAAAAGCATACTAAAAATATCACTTCACTAAGTAAATTAAACACATCCAAAGCAATAGAAAGAATCAAATACAAAATATTATTAAAAATTAAGAGAAATAATTTTCATAACCATTTATGTAGGTGTTACAAAAATTGATTCTATCCTCCGCGAATCTGCAAAAATAATAATAAATAAGCAAAAAACTCTGTTTAAGACATTATATATGCATGTGATTACTGAAGGTGAGTTAGAATTTATATGCAGATGAGAGTGTTGCTGTTTTATAATTCAAAAGTTTAAGTTCATTAATTTGCTATTTAAAAACCTATCCACCGTAAAGGGCAATACCTCAGTAAGTAGATTTTTTTTTAAATATTTTACTTATGTATGTACAATTGTATTTTTAAAAAATATAAGGTTTTAAACAATAACTTATTTGAAATATACAAAGAACATACGAAATCCTAACCTCCGTGAAGCTATCTTCCCTGAAGCTCTAATATTCAAAATGTATGATTTCCTAAAATTCTTGCATTAGTGCAGAACCACTTATGATATGTTATTACTAGACCTGGTGGCTTCCCAAAAACCCCATTCTAGACTAACAGTGAAACAACTAAAAATAAAAAATAATCATTTTCAATATATTCACCCTGGTGATAAATTAACCAATGCCATTGTATTTTTTAACCATCTGCATGCATTGCCATTTTTTAAAATATAATTCCAGATACTTACCTACTATTAAATAAAATTAATTTAACTTTTTTTTAATTGTTTTATTTCGTCAAGACCTGTTTACAGACATTAATTAACGAAATATTTAGTTTTAAGCAGGGGTTTAAAATAAAACAAATCCAAATTAATAATGTTACACTTTTATTTTCAGAAATATCATTTACCTACTACATCATTTCTAATCAATAAATTGCATTTGCAACTGTATGCCTACACTAGGAATTTTTTTATCAAATTACTTATGAGGGAATCACCCTTATTAGTTCATATTTTGTTTATAGGTTTATACACTTACAAGGAAGCAATCTCACTTTTTTGGTTATTATTATTAATTACGTTTTTGGATTTTCTCTTGACTTTATAAAAAAAACGTTAATGAGAATTGACTCAACAGCAAAACAAAAATCAATATGGCACCCAACATTACAGAGACCGGCTTTTACAAAACACCCTGTACATAAAACTTTCACTATTTTTAAGTATTCAGTGCTTAACTTAACAAATAAACTTTTTATAGAGTTTAAATTTCATTTAACAACTCTTGCAAAATAACTATTATAAATTAAAATTATTTTCCTAGATATGTAAAACGATGTTTGATGCCAATTATTTTTTATCAAAAAACGTGGTAGGTTTACATTTACACTATATAACAATGGGTGTTTTATTTTAAATCGTTTTCATCAAGATTCGAAATTAAAACACCCCAATATTTATTAAAATATAAAACACAGTAAACATTTCATATTTTTTGTCACACTTTCTTAGGTTTATTAACGGAAAACAAGTACTTAATATATTCTTATTAATGTAACAATTTTTTGTGTCAAATAATATGAAAGCCGACCGCTCTAATAGTTATATTTGTTGATTATATTAACAAGTTATTTTTATTGTTTAATATTTCACACTTACAAAATGCGATCACATGTGATTCACATACATCACATGTGATTCACACGTGTATCACATGTGATTCACGCGTGTATCGCATGTGATTCGCACGTGTATCACATGGCGAATCGGTTTTTGTGATAAAGTGTGTTTTTCACACTAAACACTACAAGCTGTAATAATAATAATAATAATAAATTCTTGAAATTCAACTATCACAACTACTACGCACGTAACACTGAATTCATTTAGAGTTATTAAGTTATTTGGTCCTTTTTTATATTTTGCTAATTTTCGGTGTGGGGTTGGAACACTTTATTTTATAGATGCAAAATTATTTTTTCTAGTTAATATAACCAACTTATCAAGTTATGTCTCACGATTACTACCTTAATTGTAAACAATACAAATGGAAGCCTAGCAAGATTTTGTTAAACTAGAAATAATGATAATAACAAGAGTACGATGAAAGAGCTTAAAGTGTTTTTTTAGGTAAGATAGTACTTTGAGACAACTATTTATTATAAAATCGTCCATTATCCATGTCCTTTAATTTAATTTTTAATTAATTAAATCCGTAGTTATTAATCCATGAGCAGTTTAATACAATTTAAATCACATTATATAATAATTACATTTATGAATACGTTGAGTTGTATTGCTGTTATTTTTTTTTTTAGTTCGTCTAACGTTGAAGCAATTTTTACTTTTTGAACGTTGTGCGTTGTGAATTGTTGCTACCTGGATATCATAATTTTAGTAGTGTAGTATAGGATAATTTACATTAAATCGAGTGAAATTATACGGCGGTCATTTTACGTCAAAAAAGTACACGGTGCTTTAAATTTTGATTTACAGTGTAAAATTAAAATTTGCGACACCTTGTATATTATGCTTAGTATATTGTGGAAGAAATTGTTCAATTTATTCGCAAAATTTGACACGAAATGACCACGGAATGTGAGTATAGTCTATAATTATCTATCATATCTATAGATTCCTCTAGGTTTGTTTTTAACAGAAAATTTTGATTTTCGTATATAGCGTTAAGTAGTGTTTTGCCTTAAAAAAATTGATACAAATGTTGGGTGTTTTGTTACCCAACAACAGTAACTTAAAATTTACCTAGAAAAATATAAAACGTATATATAAGATTAATTATAAAAAAGAAGTGGAATGCATAGAAAGAACGAAATAAAAATGTTACTACAAGGTGCATAATAAGTGATTTTTGTCACCACTTATTATATACACTTTGTATGGGAAGAATGATGAAGATGATCCTAAAATTGAAGCACAAAAAATGTTAAAAAACTTAAAACTAAGAGGTGTTTTTGTGGTGGTGATGGTAATTTTTTTTAATTCACTTTCGTTCAAAGCTGAATATGCTAGAAGTTCTGCATAGTGCCGTCGTAGTGAAGAGGGGGCTGCTGTCAGTAAACCTATGAATTTATGCAAGTTATTTTATACAATCATATCCGTGTGTATCCCCAGGATACACAAAAAATGTTTTTGAATCACCTTAATGTACAAGGAGCGTTCCAAAGTAAACAGCAGTTTCTAGTTACGCTGTCTATCCTTTCTTTCCGCCGTATTCGCCCGACCTATCACTGCGTGATTTTACCAACAAGAAAAAATGTATTATCCCTGATAGCACAGTTTATTCTAAGAATGTCTTTTAAACCTTTCATTGGGAATATTCTTAGGATCATGCTATATTTCTTCTAAAGAACATGCTTAAAAGAAATATAGCATAATCCTAAGGCCTATAGGCAGGTTCTTAGAAGGTGCAAAAGTTTAGTGGTAAAAATTAATCCACTCTAAACATATGCTTAGAATGTTGAGAAAGTAATTGCTATAGAAAATTCTGTTAAGCATATTCAGTTCAGTTAGGTACCTATATAATAGTAAAATATACCATAATCTACGTATAAAGGTACCTATACTTAGTATTAAATACTAAGTAAAAAACACAACCCAAAATATTTTTTTATAGTTATTTGTCAAATTAAAACAATATTCGATAACAAAAATACTTTTACTATAGGTATCTAAATTATCCGGCTTTTATATAAAATCTTCTATCCAACTTAAATACAATGAAAAATGTTTTTTTTATGAAGAACTATTTGTTTTTTTTTTCATGAAGAACTATTTTATAAGGAAATATTTTGTTTTTATATTTTATTTTATGTTAAAAATAAATATTTATTAATTTGTATACCGATTTTTATTTCTGAATTAACATTTTTATGTATAATAATCCTAACTATCTTCAACTTCAATCTAATCTGACTTATCCCACAAAATTTTCCAATTTTACTTTTTATGAAATAATGTCATACACTTATGGTTTAGAGGTCAAATTGTTTATTTAATATTTTTAAATAAATATATATATTAATATGTCGCAAATTTTTTTAAGGGGACGACAAATACATTTCACTGTCATATTATGACAGTGAGGCGTATTTGTCGCCTCCTGAAGAATTTTACGAATGTAGAATCCAACATATTAGAACGTGGGTATCTGACATATTTGGAAATATTCTCAAAAGCTTCCTAGAAGCTCCATAAGAAACCTTTTAAGAACATTCCAAAAACGTATTCTTAAAATGTTCTTAGGATGCTTTTTAGGAAGGTTTTAAGAAGATTTTAAGAATCTAATTGCATCATTAAAATGGTATCTATTGAATGCTTTAAAAGTCCCTAAGAACATTCTTAGCAATAAGGGAAGGTTCCGGGTCATATCTTCTTAGAAGATTCTTAGAATCAAATTTTGCTATCAGGGATGCGGATAATAAAGCCCTCTTTAGACGCTAGTGTTTGTCCTGTTTACTTGGGAACTCACCCATGGAAAAGTGCCGGGTACTTACCCAAGATACCGGTATCCATTGCGGGATTGTCTGGACCCGCTCAATAGCAGTTTCCAGTGATGATATCGTATCATCGATATCGTTATTAATTATTACTAAATCGAAGTAGTGACCGTAGGCGCTACGCAACATATCTGACTCTTTGGCAAGCCGTTCTAAACTGCCATCAAACTGAAAAAAAATTAGTAAGAACCAAATGTTGAAATTTTAAAGGCAAAAGGAAGATGGTTCAAGCTTCAATGTGCATAGATGCCCCAAGTAACACATTAGGTTTTATTATGGCTGTAACAGCACCTATTGCCCTCAACGCATATAAAAAAATAGTTAAATATAGGTGACTAGGGCCAAGGAGAGACAAATTATTCCTAGCGGATAATAATCTTCGCTTTGGAAAGAAATTATATAAAAGAAATTAAAATTTTATGTGAACACACGTGAATGTTGCTCTCGAGAAGCTAGCACACAGCAGTATAATAAAGCATATTAAAGTATTAGCTGTAAAAAGTATGTAGTATGCTCCACACCCGTCCCACCACGTGACCAAGTACGGAACGCAGTCTTTTGAAAATTTGGCATTTAAGGCTTTTCAGGTTATGTATCTGTCAAAGTATAGTCAACGAAAGAAATCATACTTATAGTGTTACCGCTTATGTTTAAGCGTTAAAATTTAATAAATCTTTATAGTATCACAATAACAATGGTTGTTTTAAGAATTTAGGAATTTAAATACTGCATTTAATGAAATTCCAAAGTGTAAGGTGCAATATAATTGATATTTTTGTGCATTGGGTCTACATTTCTCCATAAAATAGTTTTAACTAAACAGCATTTATTAAAAAAATCTAACTTCTCTATTAAGAAATAAGAATATCTGTATCAAAGGTAGGTTAATGTATTAGAACAAAAAATATCATCTAATTTTGTATTTTAAGGTTAGAAAAATCTATTTTGACCAAAATAAATAAGTGGATTATTTAGAAGAGTGTGTTAATATGGTCATAAATAAATATAGGTATACTAAATAATTGTTGAATATGGTTCAAATTAAATTGAAGCTTTTATACTTCCAATGACAAAACTTGTGCATACCTCTCGGCATACCTACTTTAAGTTAGATTATAAGAAAACAAACAATGTTTAGAGAAACTTGCAATGTGAAAATATTTAATATTCCCATGACATGTGATTTATTAAAATTTAAAGTTATAATGATTTTTCGATGTAGATCAAGTTCAGTCAAAGCTTTTTAACTATTTGTATTGACAAAACTTTATGTAGGTACACTTTAAGCTGGATAAGAAAAACTACCACATTTTTAAATATGTACCATATTATACAGTCTTTTAAATAATCCAATATACTTATTTATTTTGGTGAAAATAAATTTTTCTAACCTTAAAATTACAAAATTAGATGATATTTTTGTTATAATATATTATCCTAAGAACCTTTAAAACAGATATTCTTATTCCATAATAGAGAAGCTAGATTTTTTTTAAAAATAAATGCTGTTTAGTTAAAATTATTTTATGGAGAAAACCAGATATTTGGACCAAATTCACAAAAATATTACTTATTTGGCACCATACACTTTAGAATTTCATTAAATGAAGTATTTATATTCTTAAATTCTTAAACCATCCATTGTTATTGTAATGTTATAAAGATTTATGCATTTTTAACGCCTAAACATAATATTATTTCTTTTGTTGTTTATACTTTGACAGATATATAACCTAAAAAGCCTTAAATGCCAAATTTTCAAAAGACTGCGTTCCGTACGTGGTCACGTGGTGGGACTTTGAGGTGTGGAGCATAGTACAGCACAAGCAAATGGTTTTAGGAAAGTTTCCTCCAGAAATTTGGTTTCAGCTGCTCAAGATGTAATATTTAGGTGAAAGCCAAGAGTCGCGTGTGTTACTTGGGTGTCGCAGTGTATATTTACGAAACTTGGTACTTACATCGGCCATGTTTTGCAGTGCGGGGGCCGCTATGAACACAACGTATGGTGAGAACTCAGCTGTTCTTAAGACTTTTAAGGCTTGCGGCTCGACGTCCAGGATGGCCATCTTCCCGTCCTGATGGATTTTCCGGATGGTGTCCAGTTTGGTGCCGTACATCGCGTCTTCGTGAGTACCGTACTCTAAATACTCGTTTGCCGCGATGTCGGCCATCATCTCGTCGTGCGAGACGAAGAAATAGTTGCGGCCGTTCTCTTCGTCCGTTCGAGGTTGCCTCGTTGTATCTGAAATTTTTTTTTCGGTGTTTTTAAAGTACGTCGCTGATTTATAGATTGCCTTCCTTCCTTCCTCCCGTAAAATATGAGCAATACAAAAACCGTTGTACTGTTTCTAGATTCCCGTACGGGAATCTATAAATGGCACTACGATTTTCTTATTCTTCATCTTTTTAGGGAGGAAGAAAGGAATGCAATCTATAAATCAGGCTTAAAGTTTTGGGGACGTATTTCAAAAACACCCATGGGTAATTCCATTTATTAGCCACCAATGAGTGCACTTCATATACTCTAATTTTATTTCTTTTTTAACTGTAAATAGACATGGACGCAAGAAGTGAAAAAAACTCCCCTTTTCTTTTCTAACCCTATCACCTATTTAGACCTAACTTTAAAAAATTGTATTTTTTTTTGCTAATAAAGTTTGAATAACTAAATGTGTCCTATATGGTTTAAAAGAGACATTTTGTCTTAACAATTAACAGTTTGTTTAATGTCGATGGCTTTATTAGCAAAAGAAGTACAATTTTTTTAAGTTAGGTCTGCACAGTAGCTTTTGCATAGCCCTGTATAAATAGGTGAAGGGGGGAGAAAAGAAAAGGTGATTTTTTTACTTCTTGGGTCCTTGTCTATTTACAGTTAAAAACAAATAAAATTAGAGGATATAAGGTGCACTAGAGCGCATTGGTGACTGATAAATGGAATTACCCCCATGGTTTATTTAGGTTACAAAATATCCATGGAAAACTTTTTAGGATAGTTTTTTTGAATCTTATAGAAGTTTATAAAAGTAATGCCTTAATTTTGTTTAAAATAACCTTGATTTGATATCTAAATAAGTATACTTTATAAAACACGTAAAAATATTAATTGTCAAATAAAGAGTGATGAAATGAAAACACGAGTTTATTTATAACACAGTTCGACAAAATTCGATGTTTTTTCCCTCCGATGAAAACTCCTATACATTTTAAAAATAGACTGAAAAAAATGATTCCATTAAAGCTACATTTTAAAATTATTTTAATTATGCACAGTTACAGACCACTTTCGTGATCCATTGAAAAATCTGTATAAGTTAAAATAATAAGAATGGCAGTATACAAAATTTAAATGACGTGATTTAACCATTATTTTTAAAATCCGTTAAAATTTTTCATGGAAGGAAAATCGTGTTAAACTTCATGTAACACTTACATATACATATAACACTATAATAGTTCGAATTACTAACAATGAGTACGCCCTATACCTATATTACCTAATTTTGAACTGCTGATTTCAAAAATGCCACTCGTTTTGCTCCAGGACGTCTAGGATTCGAAATAATTGCGTAATAAAATGCTCTGCCCAATTATCTCAAAATGGAAGTTTTTCGTTAATATTTTGATTATTTATTAAATTATTTTGCCTTAAATCTATTTTTGATGTTCAGTATATTTTTGACGTTTTTTCTCAAAAATATACAGGGACTCCATACAAAGTCATCGGTAGATAAATGTCAAATAGAAACATTTTTGTTCCATTGTAGCCGTATACTATATTAGTATTAAATTCCAAAACTATAATGTTTTTTTGGTAAAACGTATAATTTTTTGAAATTTTTGTGCCGTTTTTTAATTACCTATTAATTAAATTGAAAAGGCAACAAAGTAAATGGGTTTCGGTCTTCGACTATTATTTGATATTTTTTATTCACATTATGCCTAAAGTACCTAAAAATTCTCCAATCTTATTTATTACGTCTTATCAAAATTTCTTATTGAATTGAAGTATAAAGTATAAAGGGCATCTATTAATTTTTGACATTTAAAATTTAAACTTTAAATTGTATTTTTACTTGATAGTGATTTTATGAACCAAAAATGAAAAAAGAGGACATGGAAGTGGTAATGGAAGTGGCAGAAAAAGAGAAAGGAGACGAACCTTAATGTTGTCGTTGTAAATTTGTTTTGTTTTTGTTGCGCATTATTTCATTACAAAATTTTATACTACTACTACTTTAATTTTGCAGGAATATTAAATGGACCTTATATGCGACGTTTAATGAAAGATCAAGCATTCAAAAATGCTCTCATAGTTGACTAGCTTGTCTCATATGGCAGTGTTAAAGCTGTCATTGAAAATGTTCTTGGTTCATATCGGGCCTAAAATTGGCGCCAATTCATTGAAAAAATTCTCTCCGTTTTGTAAAGAATTAACGTTAATTTGTCATTTAAAATACATTTTCTTTTTTTTCATCCTGATAAATTTGCCGAACTGATGAACATGGAGAACGATTTCACCAAGTAACTGCAAATCTAGATCATTGGTAGATATCTATGGGTATAGCGGAAAGAAGTTGGATTCATTGCTAGGAGACATTTGCAGGAATTTGCAGCAAAAGATGTACGACGATGATGAGGATTAAGCACAATAATACTATAATTCAATTCGATATTTGATACGATTTAATAAATTTAAGGTAGAAAAAAGCAGTTTTAGTATTAAAAATGTCATATTGTTAAGTTAAATATGATCTATTTGACGTATACTAATTTCTTGAGTACATTCAAGATAAATTTAAGCCAAAATAATTTAATAAATAATTAAAATACCAACAAAAAACTTACATTTTGAGGTGATTGAGCGGAGCATTTTATTACGAAATTATTTTAAATCCTAGACGTCCTAGAGAAAAACAAATGAAATTTTTTAAATCAGCCGCCCAAAATTAGTTAAACTAAGCTGGAGTACTCAATGTAAGGAAACAAACGTTTCTAAAACTATTATAGTATAATTAGATGACTATAGAAAAGCCAAAATTAACTTACGTGGTATAGGATAAGCATACTGATCAGGGTGCTTGGCAATCAGGGTGTTTTTTATGTGCCTCCTACCGACACCGTGAGCTCCAAGCAGCACAAGCGTTTTTCTTTGAAATGCGGGATCAGACACTAAAATACACGAAATACCTTAGTCTAGTTTCAACCCCATTAGCGACGTAGTATTATATATCACACAACTCCTTCCCCTTAATACCACCAACGTAATTGTTGCGGTTTTTAGTTTGAAGTTAAACAATTTATAGAAGCCAAATTGCACTGTTATTTATAGTGTGCCATGCATCTCCACTTAGGTATAAAAAGGTTATGCAAGTTAAATCTCTAAAGTTCATATATTAGTTTTAAGACGTTTGTTCCATATATATATCCCTAAACAACGATATTTAGGGGTATAGTGAGCAAACGTCAAAATAACTGCTATAAGTCAAATCTCTAAAGTTAATATTAATTTTAGGCATTCGACTTATAAGACTTTTTTGTGGACGGCTAAATTTCCTGCAAAAAATGTTAATCACTTTTTCATCTAAAGTCAACCGTTTACAAGTCATCAGCGAAAACGTATTTCAGTAGGTACTTACTTGGTAATTTGACGACTTCCTCGTACGTTACTAAATCTAATTGGTCAAAGTTGGAATTGTGTTTTGCCATGTATTTGTCTTTCATCTTCTTGTTCTTATTTCTACCCCATATTGAGCAATTGACTGCAAAAAAAATCGTCACAATTTGTTTTTTTTTCGCGAGGTAACTAAAGTCTCCGCTATTGTTCATGCACGTCGAAGTTTTAGTTAATAATTTTCCCAGCAGGTCACAAAAGAAATCGGAAAAAAGACTACCAGGAAAACATTGAAAAATCGTGTCGTTGCTATAGTAAATGGCATGCAAATAATATACGGTTATCATTTTTGGGATAAAATTGAGTCCATATTTACTAAAAAAAATACATTTGTTCACTGTATTAAATTTTGGACGTTTGTTCCTTATATCATTAAACTTAGGGATATATGGAGCACACATCTAAAAATTCAAATTAACTGCTATATCAAGAAAAGTTTCGCCAAATTGTGTGCAAATTTTGCAGTGGTAAAATATAATTGTAAAATAAGGCATTTTTTAGTTTCTTAGTTTCCGCAGTATATTTTTATTATTCATGCATAATATATTTATTTTTAATTTAAAACAAATACTTTAAATATAAATATAATACTTTAAATATTTGGTTATCTTAGTGTTATCTTAGTGTTTTTTTTAAGTTGACTTTTAGGCATATATGGTATGGGTGAATATATTGAGATGCCCCCCAAGTAAAAATGTTTATGTCATAAATATTGAATATTAGAGCTTCACGGAGGTTAGGATTTCGTATGATTTTTTAAAAATCCCTTTGTATATTTGAAATAAGTTATTGTATCTTTTGTCACCTTAATATTTTTTAAAAATACAATTGTACATACATAAAATATTTATAAAAAAATCTACTTACTGAGATATTACACTTCACGGTGGATAGGTTTTGAAATATCAAATCAATGAACTTAAATTTTTGAAATATAAAACAGCAACACTCTCATCTGCATATAAATTCTAACTGACCTTCAGGAATCGCATGCATCTATAATGTTGTAAACAGAGGTTTTTGCTTTTTTAAAATGATTAAAGCGCCATCCGTTGCATAAAATTTAAAGCAAAAGCAGATTCACGGAGTATAGAATCAATTTTTGTAACACCTACATAAATGGTTACAAAAATTATTTCTTTTAATTTTTAATAATATTTTATATTTGAACTGATATTTTTAGTATGCGTATGAGTTTTAACATTGTAAAAAATAGTTATTATATGGTATATACGTGTATCAAGAAAACAGTGGTACAAAAATGCCTAGGGTTAAAAAAAAACACAAAAATCGTATGAGACTTAACACCTGTTCAAACAATCAATACGGAGAGAAGTTTTTTATCGATTTTTCTGAATGAAAATCGCGTTGAAATATATCTGACTTTTTTTACAAATTTAATATCTTTCGTAAGATTAAAACAGAAACAATGAAAACTTTTATGTTTTAGACTGATTAAATAACATGTTTCAAACTGAAAGCATAGTTTTTAAAAACCTGCATTTTTTAATATATTTTTAAAGGTTTTTTTATGATATCATATACCTAGCTACACATTTTTCTTAATAATCTCTCATTCATTACGGTAAAATATCTAAGACATGTTTTATTTTATTCCGGTATTGGAGAAACGTTTCAATTTGTTTTAATTTAATTTTCAGAAAAGTTTTCCTTAATCCAATCCCACGAAAATATAAATAGTTAGTGGACGAATTTTATTACAAATCTCTTCAATAATAACTAAGCTAGAAGGTGATAATTAATTAATTTATAAATATTATACAGGGCGTTTTTAATACCCTGTTAAAAAAAATATTTAGAAAAAAGTGGCCACAACTTTATCCCAAATTAATGACATTAGAATAAATTGTCGTATATTATTTTTCTAGGGAATTTTTGGTCGTCATATACCTGTTGAACCATCACAACCATCAACATGAGAAGTACATCCTTTATCCACGTCTTAGCATTCAACAAAAATACAGGTCACACCAAAGAGCAGCATTTTTATTACCAATTTTTATTTAACTTTTAAGTTAGTTAGTTGAAAGTCCAAGGCATATCGGAAAATTTAAAATTATTCGTTATTACGAATTATACTTTTAAATTACTCGAAAAAAGTTTTCCTTTTATACCCCAGACTTTCTTTTTTAATTTAATTACAAACTAAAAGTCATGCCTTAATTTAAGAAGGTATATTATGTTTTATTTTTAGTTGTTTGGGTTTTAGGTTATATACATGCAACAAAGAATATGTTTATACAGCCAACTACTAGCGACATAGGAAAAAATAGAATGTCAACGATTTTTTTCCATTAACATTATATTTTTTACTGTGTTATATGGGTACTTCTAGTTTGAGGGGACTGTGCAGTATTATAAAACAGGTAACATATAACAATAGATAACATGTGGTTATGAACTGCTGGAAATTATCTTTTATATACTCTTTTTATGTAGGTATGTATAATTTCCAAACAATAGAGAAGATTATAAGCAAAACTTTATCGTTTTAGGGTTTTTCCATTTTGAATTGTCCAGGTAATATTTTTACAAATTCTTTATTGGAAATAATGATATTTTTTCAAACTAAATGAAAATTTGTTAATATCAACTTTTTTTTCGTTTTGTTTGATTTAAAATTATCATTTTTAACTAAGGTTTTAAAATTTCCGAAAAAATTGAGCCAACGGAGAAAAACCTGTTTTCCGAAAAAAACCCGGAAAAACTGGGAAATTTAATTTTTATTGTTTCATTTTATACAGGATAGAGCAAAAAAAGTGCAAAAGTCAATTTTACTGAAAGTTTACAATTTTTTTTACCAATTTAATGTTTACTTTTATTTTATTAAATCAATTTACAATGTACACATTTAAAAAAGTAGAATACAGCATCATAACCTTATTTTAGTTAAAACAACCTTCAGAAACGAAAAATTTTAATTGAATTGAATTATGTAAAATTTACATAATTCAATTCAATTAAAATTTTTCGTTTCTGAAGGTTTTTTTAACTAAAATAATGTTATGATGCTGTTTTCTACTTTTTTAAATGTGTATATTTTTCAAACAAAAAAAATCAAAAAAAAACAATTTTTTTCAAACAAAATTATAATTTGTTAATTTCAACTTTTTTCATTTTTTTAAATTCAAAATGATGATTTTTAAATAGGGTTTTAAAATTTTCGAAAAAATTGAGCCAACGGAGGTAAATCGTTTTTTCCGAAAGGATAGTGCGGAAAAAATGCAAAAGTCAATTTTACCAATGTAACGTTTACTTTTATTTTATTAAATCAATTTAATTCAATTCAATTACAATTTTTTTTCTGTAATAAAGATTTTTTTAACTAAAATAATGTTAAGATGTTGTTTCCTACTTTTTTTAAATGTGTAGTTATATTTTCAAAAAAAAATCACAAAGAAAAACAATTCATCCAAAGTTTTTTCAAACAAAATTATAGTTTGTTAATTTTAACTTTTTTGTTTTTTCTTATTCAAAATGATGATTTTTAACTACCTAGGGCTTTAAAGTTTCCGAAAAAATTGAGCCAACGGAGAAAACCCGCTTTTCCGAAAAAAAAAAACAGAAAAATTGGGAAATTTTTAGAAAAATTGACTTTTCATTGTTTCATTTTATAGTACGAAAAAAGTGCAAAAGTCAATTTTACTGAAACTTTACAATTTTTTTACCAATTTAACTTTTATTTTATTAAATCAATTTAATTCAATTTAATTTTTTTTCTGTAACTAAAATAATTTTAAGATGTTGTTTTCTACTTTTTAAATGTGTAGGTATATTTTCAAAAAATATCAAAAAAAAAACAATTTTTCTAAAGTTTTTTCAAACAAAATTATAATTTGTTAATTTCAACTTTTTTTGTTTTTTTTTTATTCAAAATGATGATTTTTAACTGGGGTTTTAAAATTTCCGAAAAAAAATGAGCCAACGGAGAAAAACCGTTTTTCCGGATTTTTTTTTCAGAAAAATTGACTTTTCATTGTTTCATTTTATTCAAAGGATAGTACGAAAAAAGTGCAAAAGTCAATTTTACTGAAAATTTACAATTTTTTTTATCAATTTAACTTTTATTTTATTAAATCAATTTAATTCAATTCCATTTAATTTTTTTTTCATATATTATATCACGAGAACTATGAATTTAATCGGTTAAACTAGGGTCAGTAGTTTTTTGTTTGGTTTTTGTTGGAAAATGTTGAATGCAAAATAATTTAATAAAATCACGAGACCGCGTAGCGGTCGAGGGGTTTTATTTTTAATTATTTTGCATAAAACTATTTTCCAAAAAGAAAAATCAAATAAAAAACTTACTGAGCATAGTTTGACAGATTAAATTTATAGGTTGAGTGATATACGTCTAGATTATTTCTCGAATTAAAGGAAACTATTTGACAATTCATAAAATCTGACGTATGTGTAAAAATTTATAAATATTTTTTTAAAGAAAATTCCATTAATTTAAGGTATGTAATAAGTAATAATTGATATTTCGTAAACTAGATAACTTATTTTTTATTGTTTTTTAAAAAATGTTTGTTAAAACTTGTAAATAACACCATAAAATCGTAAACAAAAATCCAATATGGAGGCTAAAATTTAATCGCTGTTAAATAGTTCTAGTGATTTAATCGCTTATTTAAACGAAATTTATTCGAAAATTCAAGGCTTTTGATTGGTTCATATTATAATGAGGGAAATAATCTGTAATACAGATAAAAAAATAATGTTAAGATGTTGTTTTCTACTTTTTTAAATGTGTATGTTTAAAAAAAAATCCAAAAAAAGCCTGGGAAAAACAGTTTTCCCCAATTTTTCCGTTTTTTTCGACACTTTAACACCCTAGTTATAACTTTAAAATCCTAAACATTTTCAAGTTTTGGTCTTTTTTTTACATTTTTTAAACAAAATTATGACATTAATTTGTTAATTTCAACTTTTTTTTTTATTGAAAATAATAATTTTAATGCAGAATATAAGTTTAATAGTAAAAAATATTTTAAGGTTAAATTGCAAAATAAACTCATTTCAAAATCATCAATTTTTGGCACAGATTTGGGTATAAAAATTGTGTCCTGATTAAAAAAGATTTATTTCTAATAAAGAATTTGTAAGAATTGAAATTAAAAACATTCATTAATAACAAAAATATAAGCTGTTCTGAAAATAATAAAATATCCAAATTTATTTTACACCGACTGGAACATTTGTAACTCGCGAAAAACAAAGCAAAATTAATTTTGTAAGCCAAGGGACTGTCTGTATTTTGTATTTATAATTAAATAACCGATTAATAAAAAAAATCGTGAAATAAAGGTCTTACCTTGTTCCTGTTTGGTTTTTTCCATAGCCGCGCATGCCGCGCGCCATTCCTGCAACTCAGGAGAGGGAATTAATCCTGCAGATCCTGCAGCGTTATCTTTCCTGGCCTGCCACCAGTGGTGGTCGTCTTTGCTAATAATCTAAAAACAGGTTTTTGATGTTTAAAACGTGGTTTAGGTAAAATGACCCCCGCAGTCGCCAGATTTGAATACTATTGAAATTTTTTATTTATATTTTAAGAATATTAAATAAATTTAAAAAAAATATAATTATAATTTAGTAGAGGACAATGTCAACCAAACCAAATGACTTTTACATGTTCAATTAATTACTCAAATGTACTTCAACATTTTATCGCTGACAAGGGTGCGATAATTCCTCAAGTAAAGCTCTTAGAAGTGCCAGACATAATTTTGATTAAGTAAGTCTCTTACTTTGCAGAACAATTAAAATAATATAGCTACGAATAAAGTTTTGGGAAAGTTGTAAAAATTATGTGACTTACTTGTAATATATCACCAGTTTTAAATGCAATACCAGCTTGAGCACAAGGTATGAGGTCGTCTTCCAATGGATCATATTCGAATTGAGCACGAACAAATATCTAAAAATATTACCGCATAAACATTTTGTTTGAGTGGGCCAAAAAAATCAACTATTTTTTTTTTGAAAAGTATATCGAAAATATGGTTTGGGGTGACAAAAAAATTATTGGGAAAATTTGAGTCCATAATATTAATATTAAGAGGTCTATCATCGCAATTTTAATTATTTTTTTTCCTCAGCAAGTTTTAGGCTCAGAACTCCCAAACCATTGAGTTTAACATAATTGACTTAAAAATATTTTTTTAAGAAAATTAAATGCTCTACAAAAAAGGTTAAAGTGAAATTTTCCGTCAGATGAACCGTTTCCTTAAAATCATGCCTTCAAAATTGGTATAGTTTTACATTTTGATCTTTTAAATTGAAATTTTGTAATTCATGTAAAAATCAGTACCCATAACAAACCGATAAATATTCCTATCGGAAATCAAATGCTTTACAAAAAAAGCCTCTCAACATTTTTGGCTAAATTCACTCAATCAAAAGTTATTCAAGGTTAAAATTTCGTTTTGACTTCAAATTTAACCTTAAATAACTTTTGATGGAGTGAATTTAGCCAAAAATGATAAAAGATTTTTTTTGTAGAGCATTTGATTTCCCATAAGAATATTTATCGTTTTTTTTCAGGGTACTGATTTTTACTTGAATTACAAAATTCCAAAGTTAAAAGATCAAATTGTAAAACTATACCAATTTTTAAGGCATGATTGTAAGAAAAGGGTTCATCTGACGGGAATTTCCAATCAAACCTTTTTTGTAGAGCATTCAATTTTCTTCAAAAAATATTCCCAAGTCAATTTTGTTAAACTCAATGATTTGGGAGTTCTGAGACAAAAACTCGCTCAGGAAAAAAAAAATCTAAAATTGCGATGATAGACCTCTTAATATTAATATTATGGACTCAAACTTTCACCATAATTTTTTGTCACCACAAACAATATTTTCGATATACTTTAAAAAAAAAATAGTAGATTTTTTTGGCCCAGTCTATTTTTTACTTAAAAATTTTGATCATTAACATGCTTATTCTACCAAAAAACTAACCAAAAACAACTCTAATCTACATAAAATTGTGTACCAAATATAGTCTGTGGTACAGACTTTGTACCTGTTTAAAAAAATCTACAAGGAATAAACTACGTGGTTCAAAAACAAAATAAAAGCACATCACACCAGAACCAGACAGTATATTGTTTTTTGTTAATGGGTACTTACTAGTACTGGCAGAGGTTTTATCCGGAATAACTAGATACCAAAAAAATACAAAAAATCAGTTTGAAAAAAGTTAGGAAATTTTCAAAATTGTGTTTTGTATGGACGATACAATAGGATAAGGTTAGGGATTTTTATTCCTAAATACACTCACAGGCAAAATAATCGATCCACACAAATTTTCGATGAATTTCAATCGCAAATAACTTTTTTATTGTATTTCGGATATAAACAAATATTAAAGAATATTGTAGATACATTAATAGAGAATCGCTCACATTTTAAAAATTGCTAAAAAAATGCACGTACGTTTATAATATACAGGTTTAAACAAAAATTTGTTTTTTACCATAAGTTTCAGACACTCTGTAGAGTGGCAAAACCGTATTGTTCTAAATTAAGTTTTATTTATCAAGTCACATCTATTCTTAACAGTTTTGTTTTTGGTTCACCTCGATATAATTATTTTTTGAAAAATATGGATTTTTTAAAAAAACATTGCAATTTCCAATATTTTTCTGTATGAAGAACTAAGGTTGCTATGGTCCATCCATAGCCTACGGAGGATGACAGTGACAGTTTTGTTGAATCATCCCATACTTGGACATGTCATACACGGCTTTCAAAAGCTATCAAATTGTTTTTTGCAAATTAATGTTTAAAATTTGAGGTGTCTTCTTACTTTAAAAAATGGATATGTCTCCGACTGATGTTGCCAGAGCCATTAATTTAATCCAAGATGGACGGTCACAGTATTACGTGGCAAGTGTTTTAAACGTCACAAGAAGTAAAGTACAAAGGGCAACATCAGTCGAAGACATTTTTAAAAGTAAGAAGACACTTCAAAATTAACACATTAATTTACAAAAAACAATTTGATAGCTTTTGAAAGCTGTATATGACATGTCCAAGTATGGGATGATTCAACAAAACTGTCACTGTCATCCTCCATAGGCTATGGATGGACCATAGCAACCTTAGTTCTTCATACAGTAAAAATATTGTAAATTGCAATGTTTTTTAAAAAAAAATCCATATTTTCCACAAAAATAAATATATCAAGGTCAACCAAAACAAAAACTGTTAAAAATAGATGTGACTTGATAATTAAAACTTAATTTAGAACAATATACGGTTTTGCCACTCTACAGAGTGTCTGAAACTTATGGTAAAAAACCTATTTTTGTTTAAACCTGTATATTATAAACGTACGTGTATTTTTTAGTAATTTTTAAAATGTGGGCGATTCTTCATTAATGTATCTACAATATTCTTTAATATTTGTTTAAATCCGAAATCAAATAAAAAAGTTATTTGAGATTGAAATTCATCGAATCGATTATTTTGCCTATGAGTGTAATAAAAAAAATATTTTTTTTAAACCATGCAATAAAATTTTACACTGTTATAAAAATCACATGAGTTTGTAGTATGTTAATTTAATTTTGAAAAATTTTTAATTTTTTGTTGAAAAAATTTCTTTAATTTCTATAATTTGATGATTTCAGAATGGTGAGTTATTTAATTGTGTGTGTGGTATAAGTTAATTTTTTTGTTTAGGAAATTGAGTAATAAAGCAATATTTTTAATCAAAATTATTTTCATTTAAATTTCCAATTTCCAACAAATACTTTTGTTACTGGGTCTACAAAATGTTTGTAAAATTATGGTTGACATAGGATTTTGTTATTAAATCTACAAAATGTTTAATTAGTTAACAGATAACAGTTGGTTGTAAAACACCCTGTACATAGAAGAATACTTGGCATTCTGTATTTATAGGTATATAAATAAATTTACGATATAAAAGATAAAAGCTGGAAAATTTAATATCGTTTCATCTGTAAAACGAAAATGCTGTAAAATTATTTTATACCTCGAATAAATATTTTGAATTAATTTGCTATATTCAAAGTAAAATTTAAATATAAAATAAAAAAAATTGTATGCATGAAAAAGCCATTACCTTAATAAAGATTAATTTATATAAAAATTGAAAAAAGTGGATTAAAATTATAAACACAAAATATGATGATTCGTGATTATGCATTGGCTAGATGAGATGTGCTTTTATATAGTATGTAAAATTGGACAGTACACAATTTTGTAAATAACCTACAAATTAATTTTTCATGTTTTTATTGTACATTTTTTGTACATTAAAACCATTAATAAATGTTATACTGTGAAAATGATTATATATGTTATACCAAGTTTTAGTAAATAGTGCATAAATAGCAATATAAATAGCGTAAAATTAGTGCAAATAAATAATAAATATTTACCTCACAAGGTGGTGGGGCACTTCTATAAGATGGAACTATTTTAAAGGTAACTGAACCTCTTGCTTCCCTCTAAAAAATTAAAAATGTTACATATAAAAACATTATTTCATTATGTTTTTGTGGTATTTAAAAAATGTAAATCAAGTGTTAAACATAGCAAAATTCAAAGTGTTGCAACCTATATTTCATTGAACACCCGTATAATCCTGTATCGTATCCTTTCAAATTTATTGAAAATGAAATAATAAATTTACAAACACAAAACACCGCAGCTGTAGCTGGAACTAAAAGTAATCTGCAGCTTATTCATTCATACATACTGAGAGCGGTAATCTTTACGTATACAGGATGTTAAGACATTGGTAGTATTGTTAAATTAAAAGATTTTTTAAATGTTTAATTATTATTCTGTTCTCTGGGTAAAAATTTGGCTTTCGAGTAAAATCATATAAAAATTAGTTAAATATAGGTGACTACGGCCAAGGAGAGACAAAATATTCCTAGCGGATAATAATCTTCGCTTTGAAAATAATTTATATAAAAGAAATTAAAATTTTATGTGGACACACGTAAATGTTGTCCAATCATTGGACTCCAACAGTGAATGGGTATTTTGTTAAAGCCACTGGACGTTAATACTTGTAGTGGCTTGTATATATTGTCCAGGACTATTAATGATCAGTAAATTTCAAATTAAAAGATGAAAAAGTTTCGCTATTATTGCTTATCTTTTTATTTTTTGTTTTTTTAATACCCCCTTATTTTTGCTGCTTATCTGAAAATAATGTGTTATTTAATATTTGTAAAACCGAAAACGTTACTTTTTTACTGTATAAAACATTTAATACAAAATTTTAATTCATAACAGGTTTTTAAAAATATTCAGTTCTTACTAATTTTTTTTATATTAGGTACTATGCTCCACACCTCAAAGTCTCACCACGTGAACGCAGTCTTTTGAAAATTTGGCATTTAAGGCTTTTCAGGTTATGTATCTGTCAATGTATAGTCAACGAAAGAAATAATATTATGTTTAGGCATTAAAAATGTATAAATCTTTATAACATAATACAATAACAATGGATGGTTTAAGAATTTAAGAATATAAATAGGTACTGCTTTTAATGAAATTCTAGTGTATGGTGCCAAATAAGTAATATTTTTGTGCATTTGGTCCAAATATCTGGTTGTCTTCATAAAATAATTTTAACTAAACAGCATTTATTAAAAAAATCTTGCTTCTCTATTATGGAATAAGAATATCTGTTTTAAAGGTAGGTTAATATATAATAACAAAAATATCATCTAATTTTGTAATTTTAAGGTTGGAAAAATTTATTTTGACCAAAATAAATAAGTATTTTGGATTTTTAAAAGACTGTATAATATGGTATTTAAAAATGTGGTAGTTTTTCTTATCCAGCTTAAAGTGTACCTACATAAAGTTTTGTCAATACAAATAGTTAAAAAGCTTCGACTGAATTTGATCTACATCGAAAAATCATTATAACTTTAAAAATTTTAATAAATCACATGTCATGGGAGTATTAAATATTTTCACTTTGCAAGTTTCTCTAAAAATTGTTTGTTTTCTTATAATCCAACTTAAAGTAGGTATGCCGAGAGGTATGCACAAGTTTTGTCATTAGATAAAAGCTTCAATTTAATTTGAACCATATTCAACAATTATTTAGTATACCTATATTTATTTATGACCATATTAACACTCTTCCAAATAATCCACTTATTTATTTTGGTCAAAATAGATTTTTCTAACCTTAAAATACAAAATTAGATGATATTTTTTGTTCTAATACATTAACCTACCTTTGATACAGATATTCTTATTTCATAATAGAGAAGTTAGATTTTTTTAAATAAATGCTGTTTAGTTAAAACTATTATATGGAGAAATGTAGACCCAATGCACAAAAATATCACTTATATTGCACCTTACACTTTGGAATTTCATTAAATGCAGTTTTTATATTCCTAAATTCTTAAACCAACCATTTTTATTGTGATACTATAAAGATTTATTAAATTTTAACGCTTAAACATAAGCGGTAACACTATAAATATTATTTCTTTCATTGACTATACTTTGACACATACATAACCTGAAAAGCCTTGAATGCCAAATTTTCAAAAGACTGCGTTCCGTACGTGGTCACGTGGTGGGACTTTGAGGTGCGGAGTAAAAGAATACATACAAAGTATTTTTTCAAATTAAAAATATATAAATAAATATTAAACCCATAATAATTAAACAAAAAACTGAAACTAGTAAATGATAATTACTTAAAGGGTTCAATGACAGATAGTTTTTGGTTTCGACTGGTAAGCATTTCTAGAAGTCTTCAGGTAAATATCGAATAAATTAAGTAGCTGCATGTCTATTTAATAATAATAATAATAATAATTCCTCCTGTAGCTACTTAATTTATTCACTATTCACCTAAAGACGACTGGAGATGCATAGCGGTCGAAATTTGGTGATTAAAATGAAAGTTCGTTTATATGTATATAGTTAGAGGTAGAGTATACTCACGAGTATTTTTTGCAGCGAGTTTACGGACTGATTCATAACCGGTATTCCATTTATTTCCCTAATCTCATCGCCAACATGTAAAGTCGCCTGTCTATGAATCATTCCTCCATGCATTATTCGCGCTACGATGCATTTTCCATCCTCGTTCATTTTTAACGTTATTCCCTATAGAAAATAAGAAAAAAGTTTATTTAAAAGCCTTAAAATCCTCCATACATAGTTATTAAAAACTACATCAGAGTGGCCATGACGAACCGTAAATAGCACAGTCTAGCAACTTTGAGCCTCGACATGGGCCTCTAGATAAATAATACATCATAATAGAGAATTAAGCTCTCGTTTTGATGCTCCTCGTTTTAATTTTTAATTTGTTGAGTGAAAGTAGATTGAGTCTTAGTCTCTATTTTTGTATTTTAAATTTAACTTTATTCATCAGGCATTCCATCTGCATTAGGCCTCCATCATCCAAATAAAGTTTTTATAGGATAGTAATTTAAAATGAGCTTGTTATATCAGGACTCCACGGACAGTGAATAAATTTAATGTCGCTATCGCACAATTACTGTTGCTACTCACTCCAAATGTAATATCAAATAATTTAATAGGACTGGTGAAATCACTTAACTAATTACGCGACATAATTGTGAATCCCCTTTTAGAAATATTTATTAAAATAATTAAATAAACTTGAGTACAATCCTGACATTTAGCTAGATAAAAAATTAAAAAACTTTTTTAGTACTCGATTTCGATTGATTATTCCTTATATCATTGATTAAGAAACTCGACGCTTAAATGCTTACATAGTTACGTTAGTGTGTGTATTTTATCAAAGGGATCATGGTGAATTATTGTGTTTTTTATTGTAAATAAAATTCAAGGACTAAATCGTTGCATTTTCATGTTTTGCCAAAGTATCCAATTCGGTAAGTACATTTGTTGGTACAGAATAAACCAATGATAACTTTATTTAATATAATTTATATTTAAGTTTGGACATTTTTAAGAAAGTAGTAAAAAATACTTTTTGCACAAAGATAACCTTAAAATCAACCATTTTTATGTTTGAGTTCTCTAAAAACGCCGACAACTGCATTTTAAACAACAAAATATACCTACGAATTCATGGCAACATAATATTATATATAATACATAATATAATGGTATTTTACCGTTGAGTGGAGACTTTCTTAATCAACGCTTTTAATAATGCTAAATGCTGTTTAAATTTAGACAACTTATTTGTTTGACGATTTTACTGAATTGAAATGTTTACACTTTTCACGTTAATCACTACTAAAATGTGTATTTATTGGATCTAATAGGAACAATTTGTATCTACAGAGACTGTATGCAATTTATTTCTTCATTCAGATTAACACTGTTTATTGGAAAACCGGTAAAACTCAACCCAGGATTTCCTCTCGAAATACACCCAACAACACAACAAATCGAGCCACGGTTTTTTTTCGATATTTTTTACATTTTTTCTTACAAAGTAATTCCTTAAGGAGGTGGGTAAACACGCAAAACTTTGTTTGGTAAGTAAATGTTCCCTTCTTGGACTTAATTAATAAGTTGTAGTTTGAAGTTGTGTTACAATAGCACAATTAAATTTAAACTTGGGAAGAAACAACTGTTTTACATTAAAATGTAAAGTTATTTCAGCTCACAGTTCTGTGTTAACAAAAATGTAGCACTTCATTATTTTAGCTTCACTTAACGTGTTTAAAACTCACCCGAGTGCATTTAAAGGAAAATTGATTTTTCCATTAACTGACAGCAGGCAAAAAGTAGAAAAGCAACAAAAGTCGGCGATTGTTTTGGTGCATTCCAGACCAAATATAAAATAGGATGATGAAGCTACAAAATTTTGCAATTTTATTGGAATCAGACAAATTGATATTTGTCCAATTTAGGCCAAAAAACGAAAAGAAAAAAAATTACACAAATGTTGAAGAATGTTTATATGAAATTTTATTACCGGTTCTCGACAATGTTTGTTTTTAATTAAAATATAAATAATAAAGGTATAAAGAAAAACAAACAAAAAATATCACAGCATCAAACAATGGAATTTTATAACAATACATTTTTACAGCTTAGTCAAGAGATTTATACATTGCGTACTAATATTATGTGTATTTTTGAATGCAATAAATTATCGTTAAAAAAAATTAAATTCGTGTTTGAAGTGAATTATTACGGCACAAAAACTCGCAGTAGTATGTATATTAAAAATTTGCAAAACACGTAGCATTATTTTTAATTTTAAATAAAATCCTCAAGCAACACAATGCGATTTAAACTGTCAGAGAGGCTTTATTATACAGGTAATATCAAAAAAAAGTCTTGAAACTTTAAAATATCTTATTATACATTTTGTTCGATTTTTCTTCTTATACGATTCTGCAATAATTTTTCTATTAAAATATCACTTTTTTGGTAATAATTATCTTATTAAATTAAATCTGATTTTTTTAAGTACCACGACTTTTTAACTAAAATTTAAGTTTCCTTTGGTTTAAGTTTTATACAATATTTCATTTGGTGATAATTATGAATTGCGCACCATAGTCACTTTTTACCTGCCAGCATTAAATCCTTTAATTTAAAGGATTATTGTACTATTTTTAATAAAAATACCTCATTTAAGGTAAAAAAAAACATTATTTTGTCAATTAATTAATTTAATTATTATTGAGGCATAAAGAAACTATTTATACATAGTTTAGCATTATTTAATCAATTTAGTTCGAAGATTAATTTGCAAACAAAAATACATCCTTTCGTCAAGCTGTTATTCATAATGGATTTTTAACAGTGGAAGAAAAAATAGAAATAATTTTGATTTATGGAAAAGCAGGCAGGAATCTTTTTTATTGGAAATAATTATCTTATTAAATTAAATCAATTTTTTGTTGATAAAAATTTGAAAAATTAAATAAATCTTTTATAGTTAAATCTACTTTATTTTCCTTATTTGCAAAGTTTCATTCTATTCAACCATTCACTAAAACGTTGATGTACGTATATCTAGATAAGCTTAAAACATTTCGTTAGTTTATTACTTTCTAAGCAATTTCATTAGTGTTATCACTAGTTAGTCGGGTATTTTTTCCCTTTTTTCCAGACGTCTATAAAACACATTTTAGTAGTGATTAACGTGAAAAGTGTAAACATTTCAATTCAGTAAAAATCGTCAAACAAATAAGTCGTCTAAATTTAAACAGCATTTAGCATTATTAAAAGCGTTGATTAAGAAAGTCTCCACTTAACGGTAAAATACCATTATATTATGTATTATATATAATATTATGTTGCCATGAATTCGTATGTGTATTTGTTGTTTAAAATGCAGTTGTCGGCGTTTTTTAGAGAATTCAAATATAAAAATGGTTGATTTTAAGGTTATGTTTGTGCAAAAATTAATTTTTACTAATTTCTTAAAAATGTCCAAACTTAAATATGAATTATATTAGGTAAAGTTATCATTAGTTAATTCTGCACCAACAAATGTACTTACAGAATTGGATCCTTTGGCAAAACATGCAAATGCAACGATTTAGTTCTTGAATTTTATTTACAATTAAAAACGCAATAATTCACCATGATCCCTTAGATAATATACACACACTAACGTAACTATATAAGCATTTAAGCGTTGAGTTTCTTAGTCAATGATATAAGGAATAATCAATCGAAATCGAGCACTAAAAGTTTTTTATTTTTTTCCTTGCAACGTAAAACACAAATAAAGTGCACGATTTAGCTGTGCAATTGAAGACCTTTCTCTCTTTTGTAAAAAAACTACGTATTTAGCGTATAAGCTGAATCATTTTTTAAGGCGATTTAATATTTCAGGATTTTATAGACTTATTAAAAAGTTTGACTATTTAACTTCGGCACACAAAGAGTGAGATTCAGTGCAAAATTAATGTTTGTCCCGTTGAATTCTCCATTTTCTTTTCAGTCAGGAATGCACCAAAACCAATCGCCGACGTTTATTGCTTTTCTATTCCTTTGCCGACTGCCAGTTAATGGAAAAGCCAATTTCCCTTTAAATGCGCTTTGGAGAGTTTTAAACACGGTAGTTACAAGCTAAATAATGAAGTTCTACATTTTTGTTAACAATCAACTCTTAAATCGAACTATGACGTTTTGATTTTTTATATTTTTCCATTTAATTTTAATTCCGATAATACACTCACAGGCAAAATAATCGATCCACACAAATTTTCGATGAATTTCAATCGCAAATAACTTTTTAATTTGATGTCGGATTTAAACGAATATTAAAGAATATTGTAGATACATTAATGGAGAATTGCTCACATTTTAAAAATTACTAAAAAATACACGTACGTTTATAATTTACAGGTTTAAACAAAAAATATGTTTTTTACCATAAGTTTAAGACACTCCGTAGAGTGGCAAAACCGTATATTGTTCTAAATTAAGTTTTAATTATCAAGTCACATCTATTTTTAACAGTTTTGTTTTTGGTTCACCTTGATATATTTATTTTTGTGGAAAATGTGGATTTAAAAAAAAACATTGCAATTTCCAATATTTTTCCTGTATGAAGAACTAAGGCTGCTATGGTCCATTCATAGGCTATGGAGAATGACAGTGAAAGTTTTGTTGAATCATCCCATACTTGGACATGTCATACACGGCTTTCCAAAGCTATCAAATTGTTTTATGCAAATTAATGTGTTAATTTTACTTTTAAAAATGTCTCCGACTGATGTTGCCCTTTGTACTTTACTTCTTGTGACGTTTAAAATACTTGCCACGTAATACTGTGACCGTCCATCCTGGATTAAATTAATGGCTCTGGCAACATCAGTCGCAGACATATCCATTTTTTTAAGTTTAAATTTAAACATTAATTTGCAAAAAAACAATTTGATAGCTTTTGAAAGCCGTGTATGACATGTCCAAGTATGGGATGATTCAACAAAACTGTCACTGGCATCCTCCATAGCCTATGGATGGACCATAGCAACCTTAGTTCTTTATACAGAAAAATATTGGAAATTGCAATGTTTTTAAAAAAAATCCATATTTTCCACAAAAATAAATATATCGAGGTGAACCAAAAACAAAACTGTTAAGAATAGATGTGACTTGATAAATAAAACTTAATTTAGAACAATATACGGTTTTGACACTCTACAGAGTGTCTTAAACTTATGGTAAAAATCATCTTTTTGTTTAAACCTGTATATTATAAACGTACGTCTATTTTTTTAGTAATTTTTAAAATGTGAGCGATTGTCCATTAATTTATCTATAATATTCCTTAATATTCGTTTAAATCCGACATCAAATAAAAAAGTTATTTGCGATTGAAATTAATCGAAAATTTGTGTGGATCGATTATTTTGCACATATAAATTAAAATTTTTTTAATTAATTATCCTTTTCATATTTACTGATATCAACATTATTAGGTAAGTATAAATAATACGTCTTAATATTTTGGAAAATGTTAATTAAACAAAACTTCTTCTTACCATTGGCTCGTCAGTATTTTTTTGGAACTGCACCAATCGCACCCTGGTCACGTTTTCCATTTCAACCTCTCCATTGGGACCGTCAAGATCTTCCCCCCCGTTGAGATAGGGGAGCAGGGGGGGAGGTGTGACTCGCATAGCGTCTTCACCGTAGATTTCGTGGGCCACCACATCGTGCGCTTGTAAAAGAGCCTGTAAAAAAAGAAAATGTTCAAAAAAAAAATTTGGCAAAAAAATTATAATTATTAAGAAACAACAACATATATGAAAATGTCTGTCTCGCAAACAAAATGTCTGAAGGTTTAAAAAAAATCATTGCAGTATATATTATATATATATATATATATATATATATATATATATATATATATATATATAGGTAGATAGGTAGGTAGGTATTATAGGCATATGCATTATATCCTAACCTTTATTTAAAGCCGAGCAAAAGTTAAAAAAGAATAGACAATATTTGAAACATTTATTGCTTAACTTACATAAAGATACCTTATATTTAATCCAAAAGTAAATATTGCATCGCCAAGAATTATAACATGTGTATCAAAAAATACTTATTCTTAAATTAAGCATAGTGTATATTTTATTTAAAATAATATGATAGTTTTTCTTGAAATAAGAATAATTGTAGTACACCACTGCTTAAATATAATGCAAAGTAAATTTCAGACAGTGATTAGTTTTCAACTTTTTAGTCAAGATTTAATTATACTTAATTTTAAATGAAACAGCTTTGCTAAACTTTTAATCAATTTATATTAGATTTTATACTGTTATACAATTTGAAGTGAAATATTTTAATATAATTATAATGTACAAAATAGGTATTTTATGGTTGTTTATAAATACAAAAGATATAGTTAAAAAACTAAAAAATGTTTTAGTTTAAATTTGAAAGCAAAAAATACAATAAAGGTAAACTACATATCCAATACACTTTGAAACTTTGATTTTAAAGCCTGGTCTCGTGTATGAATTTTACAATGTCCGTAAGTTTCAATGCAGCAATTTTGCCCGGATTTTTTTTTATACTTTTTACGATACAATAAAATATACAGTTTGAACATATTGAAAAACCGACAAAAAAGCAGTTTGATCGATAAATATGCGCAAAATGGTTTTGGGACAAACAACGTCTTTAATACCATTTCCTTTGAAACATTTTTGTTGTTAAAATTTTATTCAGTGATTCTTTTGATCATACGTTTAAATCAAACGAGAGATGTTTTAGCGTTCAATACTTACACAAAGTTATACTTTGAAATATAGAGAAAAACTATTGAAACCTTTATTAAAAAACTTATTGTCACTTACTTTAAAAACTTATCGACCAATTTGTCGTAGCACCCTAAAACTATTTTGATTCTCGAACTTTATGTTCGCTTGTGAAAATTGAAAAGTCGCAAAATGAAAATCTTTTGAGGGGATAGTACATGCACTGTAAAAAGTCAGTATTAATTTTTAAGTTGTAGGTGAATTTGAGGCCAACCTTTTATTATTTAAAACACTGTCTATAAAAGTTAAGAACCGTAATTAATTTAATGAAACATTCAATATTATTATAATAAGTGTTTCCTAACATTTAACTCGTAGAGCATTTGGGTACATGAATTTAATGTAACCCTGCGTGTCTTTATTATTAAGACAATTTTCTTTAGGGTAAATATATAAACATTTATTTATATTGGAAGTACTTGTTTCTTTATTGTTATGAATTCAGGGATTTTATTAAATAATCAAGCTATTATTGTTATAGGTTATTTAGGGATAAAACTATAATGCACAATGAATTTATTTTAACGTTAGTATTCGTTGTTTACATTCCTTGCAAGCATCAGAAAGAAATCATAACCTATAACAACAAGTTGGTATTGCGTCATTGGTACGAGAGCCTCCATGCAGATACTTTGTACGTTTTGTCGGTTTCATAAAACAGTTTTTTGTGTTTATGGTAAAGAAAAAATGTCATGTAAGGAGCAACTGGAGGGTTTAGGTCTATTCCCAAATTCGAAGGTAAGTGTTTAGACCTCATGTAAATTAATTTGGGAAAGGTACATTTGTGATAGGACCTATCACCTGGTGACTCTTTTTTATTATTTAGAAGAAGCCATTACGCTTGAAGTGCTGCTAGTCCTCGACTCGCAAAGTGTTTTCCAAATTATTTCTAAATTAGGAGAGAGATTTGCAGTCATCAAAATATTACAGAGTTACGAGATAAGCAGGAGCAATTAATGATCTTTTATCAGGTATAATTTTTGTTAACTGTTTTAAAGATGTGGTCAGAGTCGTTCGGCATTTCCCGTATGCGACAGTATTAAATTTCGGCCGATCAAGGTGCACTGACCACAGCCTAAGAGTATTTATTTAGTCCATTTTGTATTTTTATATTCTATAAAATAGGATACAATAAAATTGTTTAAAAATATTATATGCACATTTTATTTCTCATCAATCAAACAAAAAGTATGAAATTCAGGCTATACATTAGTATACATTAGTCAAAAAAATTTTATAGTGGAAATCAAAACGTTGCCAAATCAGCGGATTTTGAGATTTTGTTATTTATGTGGTCTGTACTTTTGTATCAATAAACATTTTTTTGTCTACTTAAAATTATTCAAGTGCTAACATAAATACAATTTTGATAAAACAAAAAAAAAAAATACCCAAGTACATGTCTGCAGATCAAAACAAAATCTCGCAATCCGATAATTTGGTACTTAGTTTTGCATTTTCACTTTAGTACATATTACCTAAAAATGCTGTTTGCTAGCAAGCTCCAAGCATTAAATAATAAGACATTGTTTTAACAACAAATACATTTAATGTGTTTCAAAAATAAGCCTATTCTAGATGTTAAGGCAACTCGATGTTTACTTAAAGTAATGATGCAGTTAAAAATAACTCAACTAACTTTCAATATTTCAAATCCACCATGCATTTATATCAAATGCACGTTTCTTAGGCCATATCCGAACCCGTAACTACTTTACCACAAATGCATAGCGTTTATATTTAATGCTAAGTTTTTTCAGTGTGCCAAAATAAGATATTTTTAAAAAATGCAATTGTACATACATAAAATATTTAAAAAAAAATCTACTTACTGAGATATTACACTTCACGGTGGATAGGTTTTTAAATAGCAAATTAATGAACTTAAACTTTTGATTATAAAACAGCAACACTCTCATCTGCATATAAATTCTAACTGACCTTCAGAAATCACATGCATCTATAATGTCGTAAACAGAGGTTTTTGCTTATTTAAAATGATTAAAGCGCCATCCGTTGCATAAAATTTAAAGCAAAAACAGATTCATGGAGGATAGAATCAATTTTTGTAACACCTATATAAATGGTTATAAAAATTATTTCTTTTAATTTTTAATAATATTTTATATTTGATTTAGATATTTAAAAACATACAGGTTAACCTAGAAAGAGTAACAGTCACGGAGGATAGGTTTTATACTTTTAAAACATTGCAAAAAATAATTAATTGCGGTTAAAAATCTGGAATATCTACTTAATTGTGAAAGATCAAAACACAGATTCACCCATTAATAGTTTTTCTCAAGTGTGGAAATATGACGCGCTTCGTAGACACGTAAACTGAAAATTTATCGCTACGTTTTATTTGAATCGTGGTAGCAGTTGTGCCAACATAATAAAGCATCTTTTTACCCATATGACTTGCATATATCAAACGATAAGCCATGGAAAAATATGGCAGCATATATTTTACGTGTAAGCACTTTAATAGTTTTGCTCTCTTTGTGAGCTCTAAACTAACAAAATTTAAAAATATGAGTGCATGGTAAGTATAGTAAAGAGGGGTAAAAGTATATACCCTCACCGGAAAATCTTTGGTGTAACTACGAATTTCTTGAGAAATTTGTTTTCACATTTTTTTAAATTTTTTATTTAACCAGTCAGAGCAGTCACCCTCTGTATATTTCGAGAAATCTACTGCGTCATATAAGCAAACTTTACTCTAGTTCACCTGCATACACATTCAAATTTCAAACAATAAAGTCAACCTGACCACCTGTCTACACACATTGATTTTTGATAATAATAAATCTTAGCAATAAAACTTCCCGAGTTCTTAAACTTACAAAGTAAACATAACTCTTTAACCCTTAATGGTTCAAGTTTGTTTTTACTTACATTTGATCTATTAGGTAGGTTTCAATAATAATTAAATAAGTAATTCAGTACTGTAATGTAATTTGATCTGTATTGCTTGTCTGTCATTAGTTTTGCATATCAAGTACATATATATTTAGTAGACTGTAAGCTGCTTTCAATCAAATTAATTATTATTTAATACAGGTATTAAATTAATTAACTATACACAACTGTCTTAGAAATGTCTACAATATAGGGTGTTATCCCTATAAATGGTAAACTAACTTGTTGGTTTCTTTTTTAGTAAAGTTGTTATAGTAAAATTTGTTCATTTTACTATGGCATATTTGTCTTTTTTAAATTACTATCGTTGTAATTCAATTTAATTTTATTTCAGTTAGAAAATCTTTGTTAACAGCTTACGTTAAGAACAATAAGAAAAATAAAAAAAAAATTTGTTATTTCCCTTAAAAAGAGGGGGAAAGGGCCAGCGCTCTCCTTGGTGAACATAACTTTATAATCCGCAGTCTGTGTTATAATCTTATTGATTCCACTTGTGCAAGAAAATTAAAATTTCGACTTTTTCTAAAAGAAATATTTAAGGTCTATTCTATAAACGAAGCAGACTTGTTAAAAAAGTGAGTTCATATTTTTGTTATAATAAATAATTTGTTTTAATGTCTTGCAATTATTTTAAAAAAACTACACAACACCCAACAGTAGGTTGAAAATGTGACCATTGGTTACAATAAAAATAGTTTATTGAATTAACAATTTACAAAATTTCTATAAATAATACCATTAGGGTTTCATTAATACTACAAAACGTTTTTGTAAACGGTATAGAATTGTTTTTTTTTGACAAATAATAATAACTATATTTATCAATGCGTTTCTGCATCTATAAAAATGTTATTTTTATAAACATAACGCAAATTTACTTTATAATTAATGCAAATGCTATTACTGAAAGCAGCGTTTGTAGATAAATAATTTTTATAAAAATGGTATTTTTGCCGTAACAAAAGCAATTGTTGGACGAATAGGGATCTTTACTTTATTAAGACAAACTACTTTTTTGTTATATTTATTAAAACAATTTCTGTGTCCTATAATCAAAAGAGTCTTATGAATGTCAACTTAAGCTTGATATAAACTTGTTTGTGAAATAAAAATAAGATTTTTAAGTTTTAAAACCAGTCGACTAGATTGATATGATGGAATTTGTCAGAAACTTTTCGAAAGATTGATTTTAATTTAATTTCAAACCGTTCTTTAGTGAAGAGCAAACATTCAATTAACTATATAATGGTAAATCAATAAAATTTCAGATTCATACCGATGAATGCAGAAAATTAAATTTTGATTTACCTACAGTTTATTTTGCAAATAAAATGTGGTTTATTATTATTTGAATGGATTAATTGGGCTTGGGTTTATAACTTTTAACATTACAATTTTTTATTATAGGATATATACAGTAAAAAAATCAACTCTAAGCAACAAAATAAATAGTTTTGTTTTATAACACTACAATTAGAGTAAATTTTTAGTGTAATTTTCCCCAAGTAAGCAAGTATGATTTAACACTATAGCACTGAAGATAAAGTAATTTTACACTGTATTAAAAAATGTTAATTTACCTAAAATCGTGTACTTCTACACTTCCTGGGTAAAATCCCACTTTTCATCAGTGTAAATTAACACTACTTTGGAAAAGTTCTAATTTTAGAAAGGTACTTTTACTCTTTTAGTGCAAACTTCTAGTGTAAATTAACACTATTATTTGAGTAAAACCTATTGGTGGTAGTGAATAAAACGAAAAGGTAAATAAAATGGTTCCTTAAAACGTAAAAGTTTTAGATCAATGCAATGTTTTACTGGCTGTCAACTTGTAAGCAATGAATAATCTTGAGAATTCATCAGTAATCCATTTTTCTGTTATAAAAAATGGGTGATCCCATTGGTAGAGAGGCGTCAGGCGGCTGTATGTCGGGGATTTACCACACGTGTACAAATTTTCCATAATATTAATAAAAATATATATATAATAAAAGTGTGTATGTATTTATATTATTAATGTTACAAGTACCCGACCTACTGCCGTAAATTATTCATATATAATATAGGTCGAGTATGGACATCCTTTTAACATATTGGTATTTATTGAGTATTAAGGCTTAAAGAAGAAGGAAGTATAATACCAAAAAATAAGAATGTCCTCTTATGGATTCACCGTAATTAAAATCTAACTGAACAAAAATGCCACACTTCCACAACGCGGTATCTGGATATGCACTGCGTATACCTATCTACCTATAGGTAGATAGGTACCTATAGGTAGATAGGTACCTATAGGTAGATAGGTACCAACCAAACATTTTAAAACGCATTTCGGTTATTACCAGTTTTTTCAGTCTATTTTGCCACTATTGGTGTAATTTAACTTTAATTGTGATACAATGTGCACTAGTAGTGTAAAGAAAAAAGAGCTCTTAGTAACATCACAACAGACAAAGAAATTGGCATGCACTGTAGCGTACATTTTGTCACTATTTAACACATTAAGGGGTAATAAACACTCGCATTAAGTTTTTGTACCCTTTTGATTTATTTCAATTATAAATAGTGTGAATGTACCAATGAATAATGTTCATATTCTTTAAATGTGTTTAATAAAGTTAATAAGCACGAAATACTACCTAGTGTTTCGACAAAATAAATAGTTTGAAATAAAAATTTGTTATTTAATAGTTTTATTATT